CCCCCCCCCGCCGCCCGCCCCGCCGGGCCCGGCCTGTCACGGCGCCGCCGCCGCCATCGCGCCCCCCCCTCCCCTCAGCGGCCCCGGCGGCCGCGCTGAGCCCCCGGCCCCGCAGTACATCCAGGCCGAGCCCCCCACCAACAAGTCGCTGTCGAGCCTGGTGGTGCAGCTGCTGCAGTTCCAGGAGGAGGTGTTCGGCAAGCACGTCAGCAACGCGCCCCTCACCAAGCTGCCGGTGAGAGCCGCGGGGGGACACGGGGGGACACGGGGACACCGCGGGCGGGACCCCTCGGGGCGTGCGGGGGACACGCGGGGACCTGGGGACAAGGCTCAGAGCAGGGACAGTGCCCAAAGGTGCCAGGATGGACCCTCGTGGCCATGGGGAGAGCTGGGGAAGAGCTCTGAAGAATGGGGGACAAAGCCCAGATTGAGGAGAGCACCTCAAAAGCATGGGGACAGCAGCTTCCAGGGCTGGGGACATGGCCCTGGTGAGCAGGGACAAGGCTCTGAGCAGGGACAGTGTCCCAAAGATGCAGGGATGGCTCTGGGATGGGGTTCTGGAGATCCAGGGGGGAGCCCCAAAGAAGAGGGGACAAAGCCCAGATTGGGAACAGCACCCCGATATCCAGGGAAGGCATCCCAGTACTCAGGATGTCCCCTCAATGCCCAGGGACAGAGCCTCAGTACCTGGGGACAGGGCCCTGCTGGCTGGGGACAGGACCCTGAGCAGGGACAGAGCCCAAAAACCTGGGGACAGCACCCCAGTCCCAGGGACAGAGCCCCAGGGATTTGGGGACATGTCCCTGAAGAGCAGGGACAGAGCCCTAAAGACCTGGGGACAGACCCTGATGACCCTGGGACAAGGTCCCAGTGACCCACGGGCAGCAGCCCAAAGACCTGGGGACAGAACTCAGTGGGAACAAGGCCCCAGAGCCCCCAAAAATGGCCCCAAAGAACAGGGGACAGTGCCCTGAGTGGGGACAGCAGCCCAATAGCCAGGGACAGCATGTGAGCACTCAGGAACAGAACCCCAGAACTTGGGGACAGCACCCAGGGACAAGGTCCCAGTGAGGTGGGGACAAGGCCTGAATGGGGACAGCGTCCCAAAAATGCAGGACCAGACCCCAAAACCTTGGGGCAGAGCCTCAGTGAAAAGGGGACAAGGACAGTGATGCCCAGGGACAGGGTCCTGAGCAGGGACAGTGCCCCAGAGACAGGAGGATAGCCCTGGGGACATGTCCCCAATGTCCCCAAAGACCTGGGGACAAAGCTCCGAGCAGGGACAGCACCCCAATACCTGGGGACAGCCCCAGTGAGTTGGGGACATGACCCTGAGCAGGGACAGCACCCAGAGCCTCGGGGACGTGGCCCTGGTGACACCATTTAGCCGTTGGGTGGCTTGGGGACAGCAGCTGACCATGGACAGCAGCCAGTGACAGTGCCCTGGTCAGGGACATGGCCTGGAGTGCTGGGGACAGTGACAGGGACACTGGGACACCGTCCTGCTGGGAGCTGTCCCCAAGGACCAGGGGACAATGTCCCCACACAGGGACAGAGCACAGTAGGGACAGCGCCCTGCCAGGAGCAGTGTCCCAAAAGGGGACACCCCAAATCTGGGACAGGGCCTCAACCAGGGGACACTGCCCCAAGGACCCCAGGACAGTGTCCCCACACAGGGACAGAATGCCAAGGGGACACTGCCCCAAAGACCCCAGGACAGCCCCAAAGGACCTGGGGACAATGTCCCCACATAGGGACAGAGCACAGCAGGGACAGAATGCCAAGGGGACACTGCCCCAAAGGACCTGGGGACAGTGTCCCCACACAGGGACAGGTCCCCATCTGGGGACAGTGCTACAACACTGCAGGGACCCCATCCCAGCTTGGGGACAGAGCCCCAAGGAGGTGGCACCTGGGAGAGGGGATGGGACCCCAACAAGGGGATGGCACCCCAATGAGGGGACATCACCCTGACAAGGAAATGTCACCCTGACAAGGGGATGTCACCCAGACATGGGGAAGTCACCCAGACAAGGGGAAGTCACCCAGACATAGGGATGGCACCTAAACATGGGGATGTCACTCAGACATGGGAATGTCACCCCAACAAGGGGATGTCACTCAGACATGGGGAAGTCACCCAGACAAGAGGATGTCACCTAAATATGGAGATGGCACACCAACAAGGGGATGTCACCCAGACAAGGGGATGGCACTTAGGCATGGGGATGTCACCTAAATATAGGGATGTCACCCCAAAACAAGGGCATAGGACCCCATGAGGGGATGTCACCCAGACATGGGGATATCACTCAGAGATGGGGATGTCACCTAAACATGGGGATGTCACCCCAAAAAGGAGATGGCTGCCTAACAATGGGATGTCACCCAGACAAGGGGCTGTCACCCAGAGAAGGGGATGTCACCCCGAGGAGGAGATGTCCCCCCAGCAGGGCTCTGTCCCTGTCCCCCTGACCCCTCTCCCGTTGCAGATCAAATGCTTCCTGGATTTCAAGGCGGGGGGAGCCCTGTGCCACATCCTGGCAGCCGCCTATAAATTCAAGAGCGACCAAGGATGGTGAGCACCCACCTGCACCCTCGGGCTGGGGGTCCTGGGGGGGTCCCTGGGGTGGGCAGGGGTGGGGGTCCCCTCCAGGGGTGGCCTCGGATGGGGGTGGGGCGGTTGTGGGGCTGTCACCTCCAGGGCAAACAGGCGCTGGGACGTGTCCCCCCTCTGTCACTGTGGGCCCTGATAGGGTCCAGACACGTGTCCCACTCGCCCCCCTCCCCAAATTTGGGGTGCTGACGAGGAGACCTGAGCTGTGGCTTTCATGAGAGTCGCTCTTTTCTTCCAATAAGGCGGCGTTTCGATTTCCAGAATCCCTCGCGCATGGACCGCAACGTGGAGATGTTCATGACCATCGAGAAATCCCTGGTGCAGGTAAGAGCCCACAGCCCCCACCCCCATCCCGGGACCCCCCCGCTGTGTCCCCCCACTCCTCAATTCACAGCTCTGCTCTTCTCCCTCCCTTTCTCCCCAGAACAACTGCCTGGCTCGGCCCAACATCTTCCTGCACCAGGAGATCGAGCCCAAACTGCTGGGGAAGCTCAAGGACATCGTCAAGAGGCACCAGGTGGGTGGCAGTGCCAGGGTGGGGGGCACGGGGGGGGCTCATGCCAGTATTTAACCCTGGGTTCATCCCCTGGCTGTCACAGGGCACCGTGACCGAGGACAAGAGCAACGCGTCCCACATCGTCTGCCCCGTGCCTGGGAACCTGGAGGAAGGTGGGTGCAGGAGGGGGGTTTGGGGGGATCATGGAGGGCTGGGGGAGCAAGAGGAAGGTGGGTGCAGGAGGGGGGATTGGGGGGATCATGGAGGGCTGGGGGAGCAAGAGGAAGGTGGGTGCAGGAGGGGGGTTTGGGGGGATCATGGAGGGCTGGGGGAGCAAGAGGAAGGTGGGTGCAGGAGGGGGGTTTGGGGGGATCATGGCGGGGCCAGGGAGGGTGGGGGCGGGAGGGGGTTTGGGGGGACCCCTAGGTGCAGAGGAAGGTGGGTGCAGGAGGGGAGTTTGGGGGGGGGCTCCGGGGGGTGCAGGAGGGGGGTTTTGGGGGGCACAAAGGGCTGGAGGATCCCGAGGGTCTGTGCTCAGCCCGGCCCGTCCGTGTGTCCTGCAGAGGAGTGGGTCCGGCCCGTCATGAAGCGTGACAAGCAGGTGCTGCTGCACTGGGGGTACTACCCTGACAGGTGAGGGGGGGTTGAAGATTTCGGGGACCCTACCTGTCCCCTCAAATCCCTGTGGGTGCCACTCTAACCCTGTCTCCCCCCCAGCTATGACACCTGGATCCCGGCCAGCGAGATCGAGGCGTCCGTGGAGGATCCCCCGACACCGGAGAAACCCCGGAAGGTAGAGGGGAGACCCCCAGGTGTTGGGGGGCAGCTGGAGCCCCCCTCCCTGGCCTGACTCAGCCACTCTCCTGCCCGGCAGGTCCACGCCAAGTGGATCCTGGACACGGACACCTTCAACGAGTGGATGAACGAGGAGGATTACGAGGTGACGGACGAGAAGAGCCCCGTCACCCGCAGGAAGAAGATCTCGGCCAAGACACTGACAGATGAGGTCAGAGCCAGCTCAGAGCCCCCCGGGGAGGGGTCCTGGGGGTCTCACCTAGCTCAGCTGGACCCCCACGGTTCCCCCCAGGTGAACAGCCCCGACTCGGATCGGCGGGACAAGAAGGGGGGTAACTACAAGAAGAGGAAGCGCTCGCCCTCGCCCTCGCCCACCCCTGAGGCCAAGAAGAAGAACGCAAAGAAAGGGTGAGCTGGGGGGATTTGGGGGGGTCTGAGGGTGGGGCAGTTCAGCCCTGGGGTCACTGGTGATGGGGGTCTCTCCCTTGGCAGACCCTCCACCCCCTATAACAAATCCAAGCGCGGGCACCGTGAGGAGGAGCAGGAGGACCTGACCAAGGACATGGACGAGCCCTCGCCCGTCCCCAACGTGGAGGAGGTGACCCTGCCCAAAACAGGTCAGTGGGGGAGTGGCAGCCACCCCCTGGGGTCCCCACAGTGTGGGAGGGGTCCTCGGGGTGCTCAGCACCACTTTCCCCCCACAGTGAACACCAAGAAGGACTCGGAGTCGGCTCCCGTCAAGGGGGGCACCATGACAGACCTGGGTGAGTCTGAGGAGCCACAGCAGAGCCCCGGGACCCCCGGCCTGGCAGTGCCCAAACCCACCCCTGTCCTCCCTTCCAGATGAGCAGGAAGATGAGAGCATGGAGACAGCTGGCAAGGTGAGCCCCGGGAAGGTGTTCTTGATGATCACCTGGTTCTCTCTCATTCCTTGTCCCTCTTTTGGGTACAAAACCGCTCTTTTCTGCCCTTCCCCTCACCCCTGAGGCTGCAGCTGGGGCTCTTGGTCTCATCCTGCTGTGGGGTGAGGATGATGAAGGGTGCTGAAGGGGGTCTTTTTACCCATGGGGTGCTGCTCTGTGGGGCAGGACGAGGAGGAGAACGGCACCGGCAGCAAAGGGGAGCAGGCCAAGAACCCCGACCTGCACGAGGACAACGTGACAGAGCAGACCCACCACATCATCATCCCCAGCTACGCCGCCTGGTTCGACTACAACAGGTACAGCCAGCACAGCCAGGGGGGTCCCGAGCCGCCCTTCATCACCTGAGGATGAGGAGGCTGCTCCCAGAGCCCTCCCCGAGCCTCTCCTCCCGCAGCGTCCACGCCATCGAGCGCCGCGCCCTGCCCGAGTTCTTCAACGGCAAAAACAAATCCAAGACCCCCGAAATGTGAGGCCAAACCCCCTCTCCTCAGCTGCCTGCAGCCCCCCGGGGCCGTGCCCGGCGCTGAGCCCCCCGTGCCCCCCACAGATACCTGGCGTACCGGAACTTCATGATCGACACGTACCGGCTGAACCCGCAGGAGTACCTGACCTCCACGGCCTGCCGGCGCAACCTGGCCGGGGACGTCTGTGCCATCATGCGGTGGGTCTGCCGGGGGGCTGGGCTGGCACCCTGGTGCTGCCAGGGAGCCCGTGATCCTGGTGTTGGGGGGTTGGGTTGGCACCCTGGTGCTGCCAGGGAGCCCGTGATCCTGGTGTTCGGGGGTTGGGTTGGCACCCACATGATGCCAGGGAGCCCGTGATCCTGGTGTTCGGGGGTTGGGTTGGCACCCACATGATGCCAGGGGTCTGGTGCTCCTGGTGTTTGGGGGTTGGGTTGGCACCCACATGATGCCAGGGGTCTGGTGCTCCTGGTGTTCGGGGGTTGGGTTGGCACCCACATGATGCCAGGGGTCTGGTGCTCCGGTTGGGTTGGCACCTGTGTGCTGTCAGGGGTCTGGTACTGGTGGGGCTGGGGGTCAGCGTGCAGCCTCTGTGCTGGTGGAGGGTCAGTGTGGCATCCTGGTGCTGGCAGGGGGTCAGTGTGGCACCCTGCTGAGTGTCAATGTGGCACCCCAGGGCTGGCAGGGGGATGACTTTGGCACCATGGGGGTGACAGGAGTCTAGAACCAGTGCTGTTGGGGGGTCCACACCAAAGGGGTGGCACCCTGGCACTGGTGGGGGTCCAGTACCATGGGACAGGGGTGATCAGTGTCACCCTGGCACTGGTGGCTGTCAAGTCCCATGGCATAGGGGTGGTCATTGTCACCCTGACACTGGTAGGGGTCCAGTGCCGTGGCACAGGGGTGGTCAGTGTCACCCTGGCACTGGGACATGGGGGTGGTCAGTGTCACCCTGGCACTGGTGGCTGCCCAGCCCCGTGGCACAGGGATGGTCAGTGTCACCCTGGCACTCATGGGTGTCCAAGAGCACTGGAAGAAAGTGGTCATTGTCACCCTGGCACTGGTGGCTGCCCAGTGCCATGTCACAGGGCTGGTCATTGTCACCCTGGCACTGGTGGCTGCCCAGCCCCGTGGCACAGGGCTGGTCATTGCCGCACCCTGCCGCTCCGACCCCAGTGGCTCAGGGGTGGTCAGTGTCACACCACGCTGCCCATGCCAATCCGGTGGGCTCTGACCCCGGCTCCCCGCAGGGTCCACGCCTTCCTGGAGCAGTGGGGTCTCATCAACTACCAGGTGGACGCCGAGAGCCGGCCCACCCCCATGGGCCCCCCGCCCACCTCGCACTTCCACGTGCTGGCCGACACGCCCTCGGGGCTGGTGCCGCTGCAGCCCAAGACGCCCCAGGTGGGTGCTGGGGGCGGCCGCCCCGCCCAGCCGCGACCCCCCCCTGCCGCCCCCCGGTCCCCGCGGGGGCCGGGCGCGGGGTGGGGCGGGGGGTGGGGGATGCACAGCTTCGATCCGTGCCTCAGGGCCGGCAGAGCGACGGCGACGCCAAGACGGGCCGCAAGAGCAAAGAGATGGAGGAGCTGGTCAGCGAGACGGTGAAGGGCAAGCCGGAGCTGGTAGGCGGCTCCTTGGGGTCCGTGCCCCCCGCCGCTGGCCGAGGAAGGCTCCTTCCCTCCTCCTCACCCTCGCATGCCGCCCTGCCCCGGGGAGCAGGGACGCGGGGGGGACGCACACCGTGATGGGGACACCGTGACGATGGGGCGCGCCGTGATACGGAGAATGACACCGAGGCTTCTCCGGGACAGCGGGGAGGAGGGGACACGCCGATGTCCTGCCCCGCGGGCCCGGCCCAGCGTGTCCCCTGTCCCCCCCTGCAGCAGCCCAGCTCGGCCTCGCAGCAGATGCTGAACTTCCCGGACAAGGGCAAGGAGAAGCCGGCGGACATGCAGAACTTCGGGCTCCGCACCGACATGTACACCAAGAAGAACGTCCCCTCCAAGGTGGGCACCCCCCCGGGCCCGGCCCTGGACCCCCGCCCGCCGCCCCTCACCCCCCATCTCCCCCCTCCCCACAGAGCAAAGCGGCCGCCAGCGCCACGCGGGAGTGGACGGAGCAGGAGACGCTGCTGCTGCTGGAGGTGAGTGGGGACAGCAGGGGACAGCAGGGGATATGGGGACCAAAGGGGATGTGGGGACAGCAGGGGATGTGGGGACAGGGAAATGGGGACAGAGGGTATGGGGACACCCATGTGGGGTCAGCAGGGGACAGGAGACAGCAGGGGATGTGGGGACAGGGGATGGGACAGAGGATATGGGGACAGGGGATGTGGGGACAACAGGGGATGTGGGGACCAAAGAGGATGTGGGGACAGGGGACATGGGGATTGGGGATGTGGGGACAGAGGATATGGGGACAGGGGATGGGACAGGGGATATGGGGACAGCAGAGGATGTGGGGATGGGGAAATGGGGACAGGGGCTGTGGGGACAGCAGGGGATGGGGGGACCTGAGGGGATGTGGGGTAGGGGCTGTGGGGACAGGGGATGGGACAGGGGACATGGGGACAAGGAAATGGGGATGTGGGGACAGGGGATGTGGGGACAGGGCTGCCTGACCCACTGAGCCCTGTCACCCTTCCCCGCAGGCCCTGGAGATGTACAAGGACGACTGGAACAAGGTGTCGGAGCACGTGGGCAGCCGCACGCAGGACGAGTGCATCCTGCACTTCCTGCGCCTGCCCATCGAGGATCCCTACCTGGAGGACTCGGAGGCCTCGCTGGGACCCCTGGCCTACCAGCCCATCCCCTTCAGCCAGTCGGGCAACCCCGTCATGAGCACCGTGGCCTTCCTGGCCTCCGTGGTGGATCCGCGCGTGGCCTCGGCCGCCGCCAAGTCGGCTCTGGGTAGGGCGGGGTGGGCCGGGGGCTTGGGAGGATGGGGGTGTGGGGAGAGGGGTCAGGGACTGTGGGGATGTGGGAGAGAGGATGGGGATGTGGGGAGGGGGGACAGGGATGTGGGGATGTGGGAGAGGGGATGGGGATGTGGGGAGGGGTCAGGGACTGTGGGGATGTGGGAGAGAGGATGGGGATGTGGGGAGGGGGGACAGGGACTGTAGGGAGAAGGTGAGTCCTATAGGGAGTGGGGACTGCGGAGAGGGTGAGTCCTACAGGGAGAGGGAACTGGGATGTGAGGAGAAGGGATGGGGAGTGTGGGGAGGGGTCACAGATGTGGGGAGAGGGTGAGTCCTGTAGGGAGAGGGGACGGGGATGTGGGGAGAGGGGATGTGGGAGAGGAGATGGGGACTGGGGAGAGGGGATGGGGAGTGTGGGGAGGGGGCTCAGGGATGTGGGGAGTGCGTAAGTCCTATAGGGAGAGGGGACAGGGACTGTGAGGGGTGGGATGAGTCCTGTGGGAAGAGGAATGTGGGGAGAGGGATGAGCCCTACAGAGGTTCCTATAGGGGAATGGCAAGACTGTGACAGGGAGAAGGGCTGAGCCCTACAGAATGTCCTACAGGGGTCAGCCTGATGGGGAGAGGGATGAGCAACATGGGGAGACCACCAAATCCTGTGGAGATTCCTCTGGAGACATGCAACCACTCCCAGGGGGATGGGAAGGGCCCTCCAGAACATTCCATGGCCATTCCAGCCAGGACGAGCCCGGAGGGGCCGGGCCGAGCCCCTCAGGGGACGTGCGGGGCTGGGGGTCGCGGGCTTGGCTCTGAGGGTCCCTCTGGGGGTCCCACTGAGGAATCCTGCCCGCAGAGGAATTCTCCAAGATGAAGGAGGAGGTGCCCACGGCGCTGGTGGAGGCCCACGTGCGCAAGGTGGAGGAGGCGGCCAAGGTGACGGGCAAGGCCGACCCCGCCTTCGGGCTGGAGAGCAGCGGCATCGCCGGCACCGCCTCGGAGGAGCCCGAGCGCATCGGTCAGAGGGGCCGGGGGGCCGGGCTGGGGGCTGGGGGGGGATGGAACCGGGGGCTGAACTGCCAGGGGGCTGGGCAGGGGCTCAGGGGTCTGGGGGG